GATACTGTTACCAGCCTTTAAAAGGCAAATAAAGCCGCTATAAAGCGCAAGGCGCGCAAAAAAAAGTGTATTTAGAGGGAAGGAACTCTAATAATAGAAGCAGGCTCTTAAATAGCTGCTTAACAGCTTAAGAAGAACGCTTAAAGTAAAAAGTAGTAAGGTAAAGCAGGCTCTAATAGAATCGTGCGGCGCTATAGGCGCTGCGGCAAGTTAGGGCACAATATTTATACGTGCAAAAACAATATAGAGGTTGCTACAGATTAGGCTATAAGTTGTATATAGTTAATATCTATTAGCGTTATAGAGTAATTAACGTTTAAGGCAGGTTTTTATAATAAAGTAGACGGCTTACTTAGGTAAACGGCTCGCTTATAGAATATATTAAGGTTAAGTAAATCCTGGATTCTAAATAGAATAGTTAGAAAAGAAAATACCTAATTAAATAGAAAGGATATAGCACCTCTAAAAATATATAGGAACTAGTTAAAAGTTTAGTAAACTATTAGAAACTCCTACAGCAGTTTTACTGCTAGAATCCGGAATAGCCTAAAATAATAGCAATATTGCGCTAGCTAACTAGAAAGAATCTAGTAGATTAGAGGACCCTACAGAACCAGATATATTAAAAAAAGGTAAGGCTTTCCTTTTAACACGCTTTTATTTTTTCTAGGGCGCTGCTAAATATACACCCTATATTTACTTAGTGTACACCCCTTTTCTACTCTGTATACACCCTTTTTACGTCTAATTTTCTAATTAGTCTAAAGAAGTGCTCCGGGGCCTCCGATTCGCTCGCTTACGTTTCTTACTAATTCTAAATACTTTCTCTAAGTGCGGCGTGGCTATAAAGCATTATATTTTAATCCTTAACTTCCTTAATACACTTACTATAGCCCTTAAACCACTACCGCCACGGTCCTACTATACGCTAGATAAAGCTAAGAAAGTGCTTAAAAAGCATATAAAGGCGCAGGGCTATAGGCTTATTAAGTTCCGTTTAAAACTAGATAGAAAGATAAAGGAAACGAGGAAAATATAGTACTAATACTGCTTTAGAGGCACTAGAGAGTTTTATATATATATACGCAGTATATCTACTAATAAAGTAGACTATAAAATAAGCGGTATACTTACTCGGCAGCCTTCTAAAGTTAATAGCTTACGTGTTTAGCTATAGGAGACGGTAGAGGAAGCTTATAACAATTACAACACTATACTTAAACCTACAGCAGCCGCCTGTAATAGGAAGCGCTCGGCATCTATAAATACCTTTATTTAAATAGATATATTAAGCGGAACAAAGCCTAATAAAATATATATAAAGCTGTTAAAGAAAAGGGTTACTATTATAGCGCACAATATTACTAATAAGCGCACCCGGTATAGGAATAAGCTTTATAGCAGCCTTACGCCTATCCAGGCGCTTCTCTATACGTTAGAAACCTCTATATTCCCGGCACCTAACGGCTGTAATAGAAAGTATATATATAACTTTATAAAAGATAAGCAGAACTAAATTAAACACCTTTTCTTTACCTATCCGGATTCTATCGAGATCCTACAGGCTAATCACAATATTATTCTATTAAATTGCACCTATAAAACTAATAGATTTAGTATACCCTTCCTATATATTACCGGCGTCACGTGTACTAGCAACAACTTTAAAATTGCCTATTATTTCCTGCTAAAAGAAAAGGAGGCGAACTATAACTAGGCAGTACTGCAGCTCTTCGAGCTCTTTAAGCGCTATTTTCTTATTCTACGCGTTTTCTTAATAGATAAAGAATAAGCTCTAAGGAACGCACTACGTTAATAATAGCCTATAGTCGCGCGCCTCCTCTATATATAGCATATTAAAAAGAATATTATTACTAAACTAGCTAAGGTGTATAAAAAGGAACCTACGTACGCCGCAGGCAGCGCGCTACCTGCGCCTATATTAGATAAAGAGAAGGAAGCTATTTAGAAGAAGGAATAGAAGAAAAAAGGGCAGTTCCTTACCTATTAGACCGCTATAATAAAGCTGGAAGTTATAGCTTAATTTAATAAAGCTTAGAAAAAGCTACTTAATAACTATAAGAAGCGCCCTAACCTAGTAATATATATAGAGAATAAGTAGTGGCTATATAGGTAGAATTAGGCCACCTGCTACACCTGTAAGGTACGGCACTTTAGTACTATATAAGTAATTTTTCTTAATACTAAAATATCTAAATTTAATACCTAAACTTTGCACAGGGTCTATATATATGCTGAATAGGCAGCGCTAAAGAGGATAAGAGTATAGCTTAAAGAATAACTAAGAAATAAGGAAGTAGCAGAAATATATAATGCTAATTTAATTTCTTATAGAGTTATATCGCGAAATAAGGGCTTATATAGCCTACTTAAGGGCTTTCTTTAGGTGTTAACTAGCTATCTATTCGACGTTCTCCTTAATATATAGAACTTTATCCTTAACTCTAGGTCTAAGTTTAAAGATAAAATAGCTAGATATTACGCCTATACTCTGTATAATATTAAAGAACCCGAATTCTATAACCTATATTAAAAGGTAACACCGCAGGCGCTTGTTCTTCTTAAGAAGCAGCTCTAAAAAGCCAAATTAAATAAATATAACCTACTTAATTATACTTAAACGTTTAAGTCTATCTATAGCATTCCGTGTGCGCATAAACTGCACAATCCTCTACACCGAGCGCTTGCAAATTGGCTAGATCCGGTGCTCTATATATAACCGGAAGAGATAGATTACTATTAGTAGTTTATTCGGCCAGGAGGATATTAGCTAGCTATTCCTTTTAGGCCTTTTAAGGATGTAGAGGATCCTGCTGTTATTAAGCGCCGGCGCGGCCGGCCTACTATTGCAAGGAGAGGCTATTATACATACAATAATACGCAGCGAGAGCTATTAAGATTTGAGATTGCTACGGGCACAGGTGCGGCAGCTAGACCTACAGGTATACCTACAGGACACACGCCGACAGTTCCACCGCCAGGACCGCCTATTTTCGTAGCCCCCCGTCCAGCTCCTGTCGCTTAGAGTGCTCCTTAGTCGGCCGCTACACCAGCTATCACGGAATTCAACGATTTGCTCACTAATCCGCCCGAGTTTGAGCATGCAGTAATACCTAGGCCCCCCCCTACTGCTGCACCTACGCCCGCACCTACTACTGCATCTACTGCTGCACCTAAGAAGCGTGGCCGGCCGCCTGGTGCAAAGGATAAGGCACCTAGGAAGAAGGCAGCACCACGGAAAGGGGCTGCGCAGCGTCATGATAGCGCTCATCCTGAGCCTCAGCCAGCTCCTCAGCCTCAGCTAGCTCCTCAGCCTCAGGCAGCGCCAGCGCTGCTTCCTTATGAGGAGCTCCAACGTTAGATGGCATTGTACGAGCAGTATATGGAGGGGTTGATGGATCAGGATAGCCAGGAAGGCGCGGCGGCGATGTAGGGGGGCCAGGTTTGATGCAGAGAGGCCGTAATAAGGTGAGGATTTGACTGTTTTGGCATGCTCATAGGCACGTAGGCACGTAGGTAGCAATACAACGGCCTATATACACTGTAGGAAACGGGAAGTATGCATAGTAAAACGGGTATGCTGCACAGCCTTGCCATAAGTAGCCTCACGTACGGCCTCACGTACGGCCTCACGTACGGCCTCACGTACGGCCTCACGTACGGCCTCACGTACGGCCTCACGTACGGCCTCACGTACGGCCTCACGTGAGGCCTTACGTGTAGCTGGCCTATATATATAGCCTCACGGAAACGGTAAAAATGCACAATGAAATAGTGAGGCTGTACAGCCTTCCCATTTCATATAAATGCGCGTGAGAATTAAGCGCCGGAGCTTCCTCCGAGCCCTCCGGACCAATTAGAAGATCAGACGTAAGAAGGGTATATACGGAGTAGAAAAGGGGTGTACACCGAGTAAATATAGGGTGTACATTTAGCAGCGCCCAGATAGTATATAAAGTCTTTAAAGTCGAAAAGAAAGACGAATTATATATAGCTATACCCCCCGCAGAACTTTAAACTAAGCGATGTGTTAGTGAATTCGAAAAGCTTAATAGTGCTACGTGTAAATTTGCTCGCGTGCGCTGCGAGAGGATTAAATAGGGCACCGACCGATCTTAATCTAAAGAATTAGATAGCGATTATACATCGCACGTAGAACACTTTCCGCCCACGTTCGTATCTTAAGGATTAAGGGACAACGGTAAGTTCCTTGGCTGTCCACTTGGAGGCATACAAGGTTGTTGGTTCGGACGAGCTCGTGCTGCTACACATCGAAAATAGTTACCCCGTACTTAATATTAAGGGTCCCGGCGACAATTAGCATACGTTGTAACGTCCGTCCCTAGGTGGCGCAACACCCACCGTGCCGTAATATATAAGGAGTACATTAACTTTAAACAACTTAAGCTCTTTACACACATCGATATATCCTATAATTCTAAATAAGTTGTGTGCTATAACCATCCTATAGCCCTTGGAACCTCTCCCACGGAAATATACGTTCGCATCGTCGCCTTCGCGCCTGATTTGCGGATAGCCTTCTTTTATAGCGTAACCGAGTTCCATCGCCACAGCACTACTATTAAGCTTCTATTACTTATAATACTTATAAAAGGGCCTTATTCGAACTTTAGAATATTACTACTATATTAAGAAATCGGTATTAGCCTTATAGCTGCTATTATATACAAATTTATATAAGGTCGCCACCCTAGTCGGTACTTCTAATTAAAGCACTTACCGGTTCTAAGTAGTATAAAACAACTCCACCCGTTTTATATAATTATCACGATGTAATTTACTTATATTATCTAGTAATCCAAGCTTATAGCTAAGTATAGCTAATTAGGGCCTTAGTACCCCACCTTATATTAGGTATTATTAGCCTAAGCACGTGATTAGCCACGGTATAAAAAGGTGCTTTTCTACTATAACTTAAGCTACTTATAATAAACCCTATAAGTATAGCCGGAGCAGGTCGGCCGTTCTCCCTACTAGCGTTATAGATGCGTTTATCTATATCTACTAACGTTTAAGTAGTAAAACTATAACACGTGTTTCTATAAATTAGCCGATTAGAAGATACTTAAAGATTTACGGTGGCAAATTAGGAAGCTATATATTTACCTTAATCCCTGGCCCCTCTATAAAATAGAGATAAAAAAGAAAATAAAAATAATAAGTTAACTCTTTACAAACGCTCTTGCTAGGCTATATTAAGCAAAGTTTCGCATATCCAGACTCTTCCAGTTCCAACACCAATGCCGATTTTCTTCCCTAATACTGCCCAACATGATGGCCGATACTCTGATGGCAGCCATACTAGCTTCTTAGAGTTATATGTTATCCATGTCCCATCTAAACTCAACGCTAGGCCTTGATATCTCGGCTTGCGAGACTCTATA